GCCCGATGGTAAGCAATCGCCACCGGCCGCGGCCGTAGATAACACCAGTGGACTTAAAAACAAGTGCATCACCGGCCAAAAGGCCGGTGGGTGGCCACCAAAAGGTGGGTAAGAATTGTAGGATTGTAGATTTGGGAGGTAAATTAAATTCGTTTTTTATTTACCCTTGATTTTTAACTTATACAAAACTGTTAAAAATGTATCTTTTAAAAACGTGCGGTAACAAACATACACATGTAAGACCTGACCTAGGTATATATACATAATAATTTGACCATGTATACGTATTAATGTGATTTACTGTCGAGAGATAAACAGCATTGTTATTATTCAAAAACAAAGTGCTGATAATGAGGACCGCAAAAACCCAATCTGTCATTAAAATATCAATGACCTCCAGACCTAGCATTATAATATTATTGTATTGTGGTACAATTATAAATAAGTAACTCTGTCTTTCTGTCTGTGTATTTTTCACGCTTACTACCTACTGAACCGATTTAGACGAAGTATCACCCTAGCTGATGTGTGAAGGAGTATCAGACTCCTTATTGACTAAAACTGCCCCATTTCGAGTTATGCCAGCTCTTCGAAAGGAGCGCTGCACTGGTAAAACTTACAGACAAAGATGTCTTTTTATGAATAAAATCTTTGCTCTATACTATGATTTTCAGCTGGGTCATAGGTGCGTTCGCAAACAATCAAATTTGCCGGAATTTTATTAAACCGGAAACAACAATTTGTGTATCACACAAAGAGTTACTCTGTGCGGAAATCGAACTTGTAACACGGTGTGTTCCGAATCAACAATATGGAGCTACTTGCTCGTTTTTCTACATACGAAACTACACTTTGGAACGAGCGCCTAGCTCTACATCTTGTATACATATGTATATATATATCAATAATCTCAGAAGCGGATCCATCGATTTTATTAAAATATTGTAGTTGGGGCGTGTCTGAGGCGATAAATCGATAGAGCTAGGTTTTATTTTCAAAAAATGTTTTTTTGTCCGTATTTTCATTGACTAAATATCCTTATTAGAATAAGAAGTTAAATTTCGCCATAACATAATAAAATTATAAAGTTGAAATAAGTTATTAGTGAGACCGTCGACCGACCGACCAAATATTTTTTCTGTTTTCTATTTTATCCTTTTTGCTAAATTTTTACTTAATTATTCATTCTACTACGTTTCTACATTTTTTCTTCTATTTATAAAAAAAATCGAGTCTGGTCTGGTACTGATCGGATGGCGAATTACGCTTGCTCACCATCGACAGGCCTTCGCTAGCTGTGGCCAGAGGCTGTTGCTCTTAAGGCAGTTGGAGCGTAAGTACGATAATTATCTCATGTGTTCCGTCTCCTCCTTAACAGGCATAACTGCTTCACATTAAGTATGGCTTGAACCAGAGCCGAACACTTATCCGAGTGCACGGCGGCGCTCAGCCCAAGCAGAGGATGCTGCATCCACGACATCCAGGCGATTTCCTCATATTGAATGTCAAATTTCAGAAGAGATACTAAAAATCACATTATGGTGTATTTTTAATATATGAAACTAAATAATGGCATAAAAAGTAATGTTAACACATAGGCTACTATTTGGAATAAGTTCAAGACCATATAATCTACCTCTGTTCCACATTTTCATCCCGATCCCGTCAGCTGTTTTGACGTGAAGGAGAAACAAACAAATATACAAACTTTTGCATTTATAATATTTATATATATATACCTCTATTATATCTATACTAATATTATAAAGATTTGTACCTATTTTTGTATGTTTGGATGTTTGTAATGAATAAGCTCAAAAAGAACTGGGCCGATTTAAAAAATTCTTTCACCAATAGAATGCTACGTTCTTCCAATTTGACATAGGCTACATTTCATTTTGAAAAAAATTAGGGATCCTTGGTAAAATTTGAACAATGTAACCGAAGGTGTAGAAAAATTAGTCTTAAAATGTCTTTCGTCGAATGCGCTGCCGCAACTATTAGCGATAGAACAAAATAATGTACAACAATATTGAAGAACGTCATAATGTCTAAAATATTGTAGTTATCTTATAACTTTTTTCATTTTAAACATTAATGAAAATGGAAACTTCAAACCATGCTATTTATGTGTTTATATTAATCCTTATCCAAATGAATTATTTTATGATCAATACCAGTTAACTACCTATAAAATAGTTTTTAAATTATTTAAATTGGACTCTCCATTCAAAAGATATTACGAATTAAAAAATTGAAAATCCACCAATAACGACTCTGACGGCGTTTTTTGACCTATGTCGCAGGGATGAATTTGCCAAAATGTTAATTACTCTATCATGAGGTCCCTAATTATTACACATGGGCCAATGGGCCAATAACAAATTCTCACGAAGGAAACGCGGCCAAGACGTAGTCGGTCATCCCGGTGTAAAAAAAGATGCGTTTGCGTTGGGCCGAGTGTACAGCGTCCATCCTTCTCAATCAGAGTGCTTTTATCTTAGAATATTACTTCATCATGTGCATGGCCCGACATCGTTCCAAGACTTAAAAACCGTTGATGGCATTGTTTAAGAAACATACCTAGCTGCTTGCAGAGATTTAGGTTTACTAGACAATGACAATCGATGGGAGATGACTTTGGGAGAAGCTTCGGTTTCTGACTGCCCGTTAAAGTTGAGAGAGCTGTTTGTGGTCATATTATTATTTTGTTTCCCCTCTGAACCTCTCAAATTATGGGATACTTTCAAAGACGATTTGTGTGAGGACATCAGACGTGCAGCTCAACAACAAGATCAGGATTGTGACTGTACGGCACAATCCGTCACAACTCTGAATCAACAAATAACGAGGGCTTGATACAAATAGAAAACAAGCTTTTGGAACTGAACGAGCATTTAGCAGATTTTGGATTCCCTTCCCCGAATCGGCAACAAAACATCGTCCATGCGATACCGTACCGCCCGCATTATATTAACGAGTTGTCTGTATTTGTTAACACGCATGTTCCCAAGTTAGTGGCATATCAAAAAATAGCATTCGATGCTATAGTACAGAGTGTTGAAAATCAAAGCGGGAAACTGTTTTTTTTGGACGCGCCCGGTGGAACAGGTAAAACCTTCCTTGCCAATTTAGTGTTGGCAAAAGTACGTCAATCTGGAAGAAAAGCTGTCGCAGTGGCATCGTCCGGAATTACTGCAACCCTATTAAATGATGGAAAGAATGGTCATCCTACATTTAAATTACCTGCTGGGGCAGCTCTTACAAAAAACACTTCGCTGGTCATCTGAGACGAGTGCACCATGAGGTACAGGGCGCACGTAGAAGCCGTGGAGCGCACGCTGAGAGACATCCGAAGCTCAAACCGTATAATGGGGGGCGTGACGTTTATTTTAGCTGGAGACTTGCCCTCCCAGCATGTGCAATGGCACGAGAGTTCTTTTCATTTTCTTTTTTTTTCTTTAAAAAAAACCCACACTAGGATTGTCTCCTGTGTCGTGGTGCGTTTACAAACATACAAGTTCACATACACATGACACCCAGACCCGAAACTTCTGGTGAAGGAATTGCGGGAGAACGTCATAGTAGCCACTATAATCACCGGGGCCGCGGCCGGACAGCTCGCCTACATACCGCGGATCCCCATGATTCCTACGGACTTGCCTATATCTTTTAAGAGGTTACAGTTTCCTCTAAAAACATAATTTGCCCTCACAATAAATAAGTCCCAGGGTCAAACATTTTCGATGGTTGGCATCGACCTAAGAAAAGAATGCTGTTATCATGGACAACTGTATGTTGCCCTTTCTCGAGTGGGATCACCTGAAAATCAATATATTTTGTTGCCATCTACAAATACCACTGCCAACGTCGTTTACAGTGAAGCTTTAAGATAAAAACTGACAAATATAAAAGTAAAAAAACCATAAATCTACCTTAATATTATATCTGTAGCCCTAGACGGACATATAGTGACCAGATTGGCGATATATTAAAGAAGGGCCAAATTAAAAGTACCCTTAACCGACGAGCATGCATGAAAAGATTGATGACTGTTAATGAAGCGAAAGAGGTATGTAAGAATCGTAGTAATTGGCGTTCCTTAGTCTCTGCCTACCCACATGGGAGACAGGCGTGAAGTTATGTATGTATGTATTATATCTGTAAATAATGTAAAAGTAAACCAGTAAAATAAAAAATACTAAAAATGTAAATTATTAAGTAATAATAAGAATGAAAATGATTAATGACAAACCCTTTTTTAATAAAAAATAAAAACCAAAAAAAACACAAAAAAATATATAAAACCAAAATAATAAGCACATAACAACAAAATATTAAATAATGATAGGCAAGTTCCTATCGACACGAACAAACATTTTTTGAAATACCTAAAAATGTAGAGGTTATATACATTTTTAGTTGAAAGTTGTCAACGTTTAATTTAGACTGTATATATTTTATTCGACTCTGCTTTTATTCTAATTACTTAAAAAACATAGTAAAATGTATATAATATCCTATGTAAATATTAGGTACTTATTTAAACTGTCAAACACCAAGCGGTCACCGGTGACCGCGACCTATTGTTCTTTAATTGTGTCTATAAAACCGGTACTCGACGAGTTAAGTACCCGCCACTTAAACCATCAAAGAAATTGAACATAAATAGACTTACATACAAATATAACTGGGGGATTTTTTTAATACATCATTAATAAATAACAAATTTTTAATAAATAAAAATATTTGTGGTTTATATCCAAATTTCCAAAAATAAATAATTGTCTACCCCGAGCGAAGCCGAGACGGGGTGCTAGTATAATATAACAATAATAAAAAGGTTCAGTTATATTATTTTTGTATCGCTGTTATCACTCAGAAAATCCCATCATGGTTGAGTCATCGTGTTGTTGTCTGGACTCGTATATATAGTACTCACTAAAAGCGAACCCAAAGCTATTCAGAGCACAGTCGCAATCGGGATCTAGAGAGCAAACATGTTCCTGAGCAAGGCATCCGTCATTCTCCTCGTCGCATTCTTGGGGACCACATGTAAGTAAAAAAATATAATTAAGTAATTGTGTTTGTTTAAATTATATTTGTAATCATGGAGAGTCCAATGCTACACTATGAACCTCTTATAAAAAGGGCTTCGCCATAATTTTCACACGGAAAAGCGTGTTGAAGAACAGCTCAAAACAGCTCAAAACAGAACAGCTCAAAAGGTTCAAGTTCATCAGAGGGCGCAGTGTCTTATATCTGCTATATGTGTCCTCTAGTAATTCTTGCGACACCTGCGGGAAGAGTATGGCTGGTACAGATGTATTCTAATCTGCCAGCTAGGGCTAAGCACCACTGTTTCCTCTGAATAGCGGTCGGCGGCCGCCTCACCGCACCCGGCTGTGGCTCAGGCTATGGTGCGGAGCGAAAAGAACTAGCTGGAAAGCCGTCATCTCCTTCTGCAAAGCAGTCATACTAAGAAAGAGAGCCGAGGACAGAACCCGGGTCAGAGCAGTATGATTTTAGTCAGTAAAAGTCTGACACTCCCTTTCTTCACTCAGAGCCGGATATTTGATGATCATTTCCATCGAAAAAAATATTGTAAATCATATTCTTGACATTTTTTCTTTTTGTTACTGCAGGGTTTATGGGAGATGGATTTGTTTCTGCGAGTCCGTTGCCGCAAGGATTCAACCCGATGATGAATCAAAACCCTAACGGTACTTAATTCTTTGGTTTTTTTTTTAATTGACGTTAATATGTAATACTTTAAATACGTACCTATACATACTATGCCTAAAAGCTTTTCTTGATTAGATGTCAACAAATTATCCATACCCATTTAAATTAATGGGGTACATTTTTATTCTGTTAATTCCGAAGTCATAATTTTTTAATATATTATTTATTTTTCTAAACTTGAGCTAGATAATATTAAGGTTTAGCAATTGCTCCGGCATAAAGTACCGTCGTTTCATTCCCGACGAGATGCCCAATTTCCTACCAGCCTATTGCGCCATCGATTTAAAAGCTGATCGTGGGCATCACAGTTACGCCAAGAAACTCACTATAATTATTATTGCAATATTATGTAATTTAGTGACGTGTCTGTCATTAACATTTGTTGTGTCTTCTGCAGGGTTTACGGGAGGGCCAGGTTACTACATAGCTCCTCAGCCTTATTACTCACCGCAACCACAGCCTTATTATGCAACGCAGAGACCTCCACTCATAAGGACATGGGATGGCATCAACGATTGGGCTCAGAATACCGTTCAAGGTATTTTGGGGCAAAATGCTGTGAGCCCTCGAAGTCTTTTTTTATTACTTAATTGAGGGGTAGGTTGCCAATTTTCACCATTCGGTCTTAAATTTTAAAAAGCTACTAAGTGAAAAACTAATCAAACTGTTTACTGAAACACCTAACGACATTCGATATTTATCAATGTGTAAAATATAAATCCTAACGGTGAAGGTAAGAATAAGTCTTAGGTGCTCCCCCACGCTAAGAAATTCTTAGTTGGTTTAAAAATGGTTGGTGAAAACGGGCAATAATCTCCTTAATAAAATTGTGTTTTATTGATAAACGTTTGATTTCATTGTTTTACCTATTCTCCTTCCATACCATAAGTACGTCCGTTCCATTCACTTTAGAGAAAAATTAAATAGTGCAACGTGCCCTATGATCGATACCTATACCGAAACATAATTAACAATAGTATTGAGAAGTAAAGGATTTTGTTTATTTCTTCATTTGTTTAACACGTTAACTAAGAATCTACTGGTTCGAATTGAATCATTCTTTTTGTATTAGGTTTTAACCAACATTTTAAGAAGGCTATAACTCTTTTCATTCATACATCCGTATGAATATCACTCCTATTCCCAATATATAGCTTTTTAAGGGAGGAAAATCATCCAATGACTTCTCCTGCCTTGAGCTAGGTGAGAGGGAGTGTCAGACTCTTATTGACTAAAAACCACTCCGTTCCTATTCCTGCTCTTCGAGCAGAAATGGCGGCAACCCGTTACGCCTTCCACGGTTCCGTATTGGGCATTAGGCCTACTGGGCCTCATCTATGGTGGTTGGATGGCTCTGGTCGGGCGGCGAGCTACCCTTGCTCGCCAACCGCAGACGCGCAATTACGGTGGCTGGAGATCTTGTCTCCCGCGACAGCTGCAGTGTTCAGGAGGTTTGTTCCCCCATGTGCCCCGCCTCCTCCTTTCCCAATATATGACTACAGGTTAAACGCTTATACCCCATACATAGCTCAGCCAGCAGCTTCGTCCGCTTTCCTGCGAGATAAAAAGTATAATTATGAATAGTTTGTGAATTATTATTGATAAAACATACATAACATCACACCTTTTATCCCCGAAGGGGTAGGCAGAGGTGTACATTATGCCACTGTACAATGTAACACCCACTTTTTCACTATTTATGTTATGAGTCCCATGTAATAGGGGGTGAGCCTATTGCCATATACTGAGCACAATTCCAGACTCCGTGGTACTAGTTTTATTTTATGAAAAACCACTGGATTTTTATTAAAGTATTACTGAATACTTTGCCCGACCCGGGAATCGAACCCGAGACCCCTTGCCCGGCAGTCGCACTTGCGACCACTCGGCCAATGAGGCAGTCAGTATTATTGATTTCAACAGAAAATAGTGCTACAAATATATATTTTTATTTCGTACAAACTGAATTTGGTTAATGTAACTTATAAAAGTTTGCACGTTTTAAATGTTGCTCAACACGACATCCGATATTGAGAAAAATCGAAGAGCATGACCAAAAACAAATGAATGAAGAGAATAGTAAAACAACTGTAAAAACTGTTCACAAACAACTCATTAAATTAACGATCACTTCCTTGAATTCTAACAGCAATAAACTTGCAGGTAACACCTGGTACCCAACTTCGACTTAGCAAAAAAGATAAATACTGAACCAGAATAAATACAATATATGACTTTCCTACCCATATCTTATTATTGTTAAACATTTCGTTTTTCTTTTCCCTCGTAACTCATAAATGTTGATTGGAGGGAAGGGATTGCGATATTCTTAACCTTTAGCCGAATTCAAACAATATTTCTGAGTCGAGATTTACAACCTACTTTCACTAGTATGTTGGTTATATTTAGACCTTAGAACTTGTAGCTATAAGGTATAATATTGTGTATTTTCTTTACTTTGCCTACCTGGCAACCTATTTAAAGGGATCTCATTACATGACTAGTGTAAAATACGAATGCATGCATCCTTCACAAATGACAAATATATGCATCTCGCTCAGAAAAAATTGAATCTTTCGTATTTATGAAGGATCGTCTACATTATCATCATTTCAGCAGTGAGTCGTCCGCTGCTAAGCATAGACTTCCCCCAATGACTTCCAGATACCCGAGCGTACGGAGCGTCGCGTTCCGCGCGCGCCTCAAAGAGCCATAAGACCACCACGGTTGGGGCCCAATAGGGCTGATGCCGATACGGAGTCGCGGAAAACCTAACGGGTAACTGGGGCTCGAAGCGCAGGAGTAGGAACGGGGTGGTTTTTAGTCAGTAAGAGTCTGATACTCCCTCCCGCCTCACCCAGGCGGGAGCAGTAATTCAATGATTTTTGCCCCTTAAAAAAAATACTTTCAGATAGACCGATATGAAGTTGCCTGCAGCCATGTGAAGGATGCATGCAAATGATGCAACGTAAACAGTTACCCTAAGTGTAACCTTAATAAATGCACCATGCACAAATATTGATGACTATTGATGAAGTGTAAGAGTAGTATGTACTATACAGGAATTGGCGTTCCATAGTCTCTGCCTATCCCCATGGGAGACAGGCGTGAAGTTATGTATGTACCACTGCCTACGTTCTCAAAATTAAAATGACCTAGCTTATATCGAATTACCATTGATAGCTAATTCGAGCCTAGATCAATCAAGTCGAGTCTTAATATTTATGTAAATACAGTACATTTCTACCCTCAATGTCATTGTGGGTCATAGGTATCATATAATGTTTTGACTAAAGTTTTGATTCATATCATCTTCTTTAAGATGTTTAATGTCTATTAAATGAGTAGATACCAAATTTGATTCACTTAACTTTATTTTTCATGAATAAACCATTGAACCATTGTCGAATAAATGTTTTTTCTTTCTTTCTTTCAACCACTAGCAAAAATTTTGTGTTATCAATCATCGGTTCAATTGATTCTTTTACACATTATTGTCTAACATAGGGTTGAAGTACTTGTACATACATTCCATACATTGCTAAACAAATAAATGTCACGGTATCCACACTGAAATGCAAATATACGTCATCGTTTGTGTCTACACGATAAATTCCACACCCAGTTTTGCCCATAACACGAGCTCCATCACTGTTTCTTTCAAAATATTGGGCAATCTCTATAACATACTGGATAAACAACACGCTGTATAATATACATATGTGTATGTGCGTAAGTGTGGGTTTGTATTGGCGGGGTTGGCGGCCAATAGTTGGCGTATCAGTCCCACGGACCGCATTGTTGACTTAGGACTAGTTTACCCCTGATCAAGTCTTACGCCATAATCTGTGCCAATAACAACATGAGATACGTACTGTTATATCCCTGATATGTAAGGGTTTATGCTGGGATGACATAAGAAATGCATCATCATCATTATTATATCTTAACGTGTAAGGTGGCATGCCAGACCCCTCAGTCTGAACAAGATCTCCGAACGGTACGGTTGTATACTCAGTCCTTTAATTAATTAAAATAGTTTTAATATAAAATTAGTTTTTTTTAAAAAGAAATCCTAAAGGACTCTCGTAACATTTTGGTGGCAGCGGTGGGATCCGGAAATATCCAGTGCCGTTCCGCAGACTCGCGCCGGATCTCGAAATATCGTGAAACATCCCAAAAAGTGTAATCAGATAAGTGAACTTATCACCCACTGTGTTACCCGTGTAAAACCCTGGAAAACTCCTAATCGTAATTCCGTAACCATATTACGAGTCCTGAGACAAAGTGTCCAAAGGGAGCCTATTATCCTATATCAGTGACCTGTGAAGTGAAAATAAAATCTGTGTCCTGTGAAGTAAAATCAGTGTTGTGTGAAGTGAAAATCCTATCCTTGTCCTGTGACTAAAGGATACATTAAAACCTCCTGTCTGTCTCTCCATTGAGTGGTAGCCACTCAATTCGACCTTCGACATATCCTGTCGGAGAGAGAGACAGTCATTCGCCACACATCGTGCTTCGGAATGTTCCCCGTCAGCGTCGCCGTCGCCGTCGCGCTCTTATCAGCTGCTCAAGTAGTAACGATACAGTAAGTCTTTGGTCATTGTTTTGAATTCTATTTTTAGAGTTCCGTTGGCATATATGCAAAACCTTTTTCATTGTTATCGTATCGAATTAGAGTCCTGAATACATTTGGCGAAACTCTTCGCTTCCTTGGCTAGTTTAATGCAATTATGCTAAGTGCCAAAACCGAAGAGTTCTCTTACGACAAGTCTGAAGAATCCGTAGAATCCAAAGGTAAAGCACCTCGACAACCATCACCATCTTCTAGGACTACTAGGGCTAAGTCAAAAATCCTCGAAATGGATATCAATGCCTTACTTAAATTCATTAAACCATACGACGGGAGTAGGGAACACCTAAATGCATTCCTTATTAAATGCACAAACGCCATGGAGCTGGCTACCGACATCCAAAAACCAATGTTATTCAAATATATAATTAACTCCTTAGAAGGTAAAGCGGCAACCACCTGTGCTATTAAGGAATTTAGCGACTGGTGTCAATTAAAAGAATTTCTCAAAACCCAATTCAGTGAACATAAACACTATACACACCTATTAACCGAACTACAAGAAAGTAGACAGGCACACACGAGACGGTAAGTCAATTCTCCCTCCGAGTCGAAACTGCTCTTTTCCACTTACTCACAGAGATCTCATTGGCTAATTACCCACAGAAAGAAATTCCTGGCCGTATAGCCTCCATGGAGGACCTTGCTTTACATCATTTCCTCATGGGACTACTACCGAGGATTTCAAACTTGGTCAGAGCCCGTAACCCTAAAAACTTTAATAGTGCTGTAAATTTGGCTATGTCTGAAGAGAAAATACAGAATAGTCAGTTCGCTAAAAGAAATGCTTCCCAAGCACAATCCAGCAGCACATTTAAACCCCATCAAAAGTCGTCCAACAAACCTAATTCTAATAACTTCTCTTCACAATCTAAAAAATCGTCGTTCACCGTGAATAATAACAACACCCCTAATATCTCGGGATCGTCAACGTTTTGCAGATACTGCAAGGCCACGGGAC